TTTTCTTAGATTTCTCTTTGGAGATAACAAAATTTTTCAGTCTCTGGTGTCTTGGAATCCCTTTGTCCTTGTAGGTGGTTAAATCTCTTCATTCCATTTCTCTTCCCTTTCTTCTTCTTGGACTAGGGTCAAAAATAACAGGTGGAATAGAGGGGCACAGGTTTGAAGATGAGTTGATTTCAGAAGACAATTAAAACTGCATATGACTGTCAAACCAAACATACAACCAATCACTAGCATAAAACATTCCCTAGAGATGTAAAATTCCACTGGGTCAATGGAAAATGGTGGCTTTCTACACACAAACTCCAGCAGTCTCTAAGCTTAAGCAGTATTGTTAACATAGAATTTTATTCCTTTTACTGATTTAGGCCATTCTTCAAATGGGCAACATTACTTGAAATTTTTTTTTGAGCTGCTATAGCAAGAGCTGTATATTAACTTAAAGGAGGAAAAACTCCGAGCAGATGGTACACAGCTATTACCCGAGAGTATTAGAAAAGGTAATTCAGTTTCCTACTGTAGGCATATTTTCTGATACATGCTCTATCTTCTCATACTTTTTTTCTTACCACTGGGAAATAAAAATCATCAGTAAGTCATATTATTTCTACATCTACAGTATAACATAATAATCAGAATAAATTATTTTTATGGTACCAGAGCACTCCCAGTATCTCACAAACAAGAACATTAAAACCATAGAACACTGAGATGTTCAGCAGATAAAATGTGAAGAGAAGAAATCATCTAAACAATAAATACTAAATCACTGTAGCAGGTATTTAAAAAAAAAAAGGAAAAAAGCCAACACCCCTTTATCTAAAGAGAGTGTCTTTGTTTTTCTCTGAATCAAATAAAACCTGTGGCAATTAGTGTAATTTTATTCAAGCCTACTATTGCTTAAACATCCCTTGGTGTTTGTTGGTCACATTTGTGTGAATCTGGAGCTAAGTACACTTGAGCAAGGAATGGTTTCTGAAATGATTTTGGGATCTTTTCAGATGAAATGTTGAGACCTATGAAACAAAAATCCCAGGATTTTTTTGTATCCTAAATTTAATAACATTTCAGAACTGTTAATTTGACTTGAGAGAAAACAAATTCTTCTTGGTTTTCAGATGTTGAAATGTTCTTCCCTTGCCTTCCTTCTTTTTGAAGTAATTTTTGAACAATTGTTTTCTGTAAGCGGTTTTGGGCTCATTGAAGTGGCATTTTCAGTCAAAAGCTGAAATATGAACTCAGGCTTATCCGCTGGTGGAAGGTATTGCAACTTGCTCACAACAGACCTCCAATTCTTCAGCTGTGAGTTCGCAGCATTTATGGCTTTAAACACATATGCATCAAGATGTGGCAGACTGAGACTGATGATGGCCACATACCCATTGATCTTTAGGAGGCCAATAATAATCGATTAGCATTTCCAGGCTGGTTATTTTCTCATGTGTAAACTATTTAGGGAATAATGTGTAGATCATGTAAATTGATAGATGCTGTCATGAGGGTAAACGGATGAGTTAGGAAGATATTACATTGTTAAATTATTTATGGTGCAATAATATAACCTTTAACTTTTCTGCTAAGTTAATATGACAAAAAAAGTAGGTGAAATAGAAAAAAATTATGTTCCAGAGAGTAGTTGGGGGAATATTTCTAATGACTGTAGTGAGATGTCTGAGGCTTTTCCATCTTTAATCATAAGATTATGAAACATAAAAAAAAATAATCTATGGTTTTAATAAGAAATGTACATAGTAGTTTGAGGGCTTCATTAACTTGTGCTGGGCTATCTGGTAGCAAATTGGCAAATTTCATCCTGCCTGAGTGGCCTGCAGAATGGCGAACTATAAAATTATACAGACAGTTATTTTGACTACATGTCGAAAGAGCATAGCCAGCAGGTTCAGGGAGGTGATTATTCCCCTCTGTTCAGTGCTCATGAGAGTGTGTCTGGAGTGCTACATCCCATTTTTGTCCCCTGGTACAAGAGATGCTGACAAGCTGGGGTGAGTCCTGCAGATGACTTGATGCTGGCCAATATGACATGGGAGGAGAGGTTGAGGCGCTGCCTTACACCATGAAGAAAAGAGAATGCTAAAGGCTGCCTTCAGCTACCTGATGGGTGGTTATAGAAGCAGATGGAGCTAAACAATCCCGGGGATGCATAAGGAAAATGTGTCAGGCAGTGCAAGCACATTGTAGCCCAGGAAATGCTGATGACATGCAAGGAAAAAAGTTTCTTTTGCAACGTGGGTGGCCAAGCGTCAGGATGGTTAGCACAGACAGGCTGTGCAATCTGCATCCAAGGTGACACTGAAATCTCAGCTGAGCGCTGAGCAGCCACAGCTAGCTCTGGAACTGGCCCTGCTCAGAGCAGGCAGTTTAGATGAGATGTTCTTCAGGGTCGTTGACAACTGAATTCGTTATGATTCTTTGTGGCAAAGCCTCTTCCACTTCTGTACTTCATAAACTTTTCCTAATCTGCTCTGAACTCAGAGGCTGTTGTTAGCACTATGCACTATAAATTCTGAGATGAACATTTTTAGGAGCTGTTTAGTTGAGCCATTTTTTTTCTTTTGTAATTGCATTTGACTGCAGAACCTCTACAGCAGAGCCACTGTGAACTTCTGAAGTGCGAGGGAGGTTTGGTTTGCCACTTGTGTTTCAGTCGAGCCTTTTAAGGTAACCTTCACTAAAGAAACAAGCTGTCTTACAGAAGTCATATTTCTGCACCCATGTGCAATCTGAAGAGCTTTTCAATTTTACAGTATAATAGCAAAATTTACCATGAATTGAACAGGATTGTTTGTGGACAAAGTTAATTGTATGCACTTGCAGGATTGCACTTGCATTTTTGGGAAAAAAAATGATTTTTCTGTAGGTGGGGACTTCAGAATTTTGACTGTGGCTCTGCATATGTTGCTGTCCCTTTCTTTTACGTTGGTTCTTTGCTTTCAGCAATTACTAAAGCACTGAAGTGTGAAAACACAGGTAATAGCATGCTTAGAAGAATTAAAGTGTAATTAGCAATGGATGCTACTCAATAAGCAGGGGCATGCTGGTGCCCAGTTAGCGCATCAGTGGCTTGGAAGCAGTCAGTGTGCTATTTCTGGCTCTGCTGGCATTTGGTGAACATCAAAAAAAAGCTGTAGATGCCAGTGGAGGATATAGAGATATGAGAGCAACTTGTGTTTTGAAATAAGTGAAGATCACAGGAGGAAAAGGGGATCATCACAGGAGGGTGAGAAGGGTAGGGAGAGGTGAGGGAAAGGGAATGGAAGCATAAATCTGTAAGGAAGAGAGACTTCATTACTTTTGGTGCTCAAAGAACTCCAGTTTGAACTGATAGAAGCTGCCCAGGAAGCAATGATTATTACCATTTCCTGGGTACATGCGTGTGATGTGAAACGATGTTTATTTGGTTTAAAATGTTAAAGCATCGTTCATGTTAAAAGTGCTGCCCTTGTTTATGCTAGCAGATGATCTGTTCTCAAAAGCATTCCCACTCTGTATTCTACAGTATTGGAAATTTTTAATTGTGTTTGTTTTTTTCATTAAAATCTCCTCTCACTTGCTTTCGTCAGGAGTAACATTTTCCTTTTTCTGGAAGACTCAGGACCAGAAGGCTAAGTTTCTCCCTGCCTCTGGTGGACAAGTAATTTCCAGTGGTTTCAAAATCTGTTCAAACGAAGGTGAAGGCTCAGTGGAATTTTACACCCGTGGGAATGCAATGATGAAGTGGAAAGCAAGCTTTAGTCCACCAGGTAAAGTTTATAATTTTTTGAAATTCATTTCTTTGTTATATTTTATTTTATTCTTGCAGAGAGATGTTGTAGTAAGAGCACAACTTCAGGAAAGAAAAGTGCATATGTAAAAATAGCCACATAGCTCTGTGCTTAAGAATTCTCATGATGTGGGGAGGGAGAGATAAAGCATGAACTGAAAAACCAGGGATATTGTATTGTAGAACATTTGCCAATTGGGAACAGTCCTCAGACCCAACTTCCAGTTGTTTCTGAAGTGGAATTCTAATTGACATCAAGAGATTAACGAGTGCTTAGGTGGAAGCGTGAGCAAGGAAAGCAGGTTATCCCTGACAGTTCTCGATATATTCTAAATCTGGGTGTGTGTGCTGTCCTCTGCTGCCTCAAATTAAACCTTTATTTGGTAACTGTCTAACTGGCTGTTTAGGGCTTTGGTAATTTTGTTATTTGTTGAGTGTCAAGTTTTGTGTGCCATGGCATCGTATTGGTAAATGTTTTGATAAATGACGTTTCTTACTGCTTCTATCTAAACTGTGTGTTGTTGGGGAGCAGTATTACCCAGTGACTGGAACAAATTCTGGTTTTCTGGTAGTGCCAAGGACAGTCATTAAATCTTTTCTTGCCTTAGTCTGACTACCTGTAAATTGGTGAAATAGGACTCTCTTACCTTGTAGTAGCAGAGTTTTATAAAGCTTAATAAATCAGTCTAGAAATCTTATTTTAAGAGAAAAGCTGCTAAATGGTAACAATAATTCAGACATTTGCAGATTATCCAATCCAAGTGAAAATTAATATTATGTTTTAGTCTCTCAAGGATAACAAAGAAACTGTGGCAACTTTTAATTAGTCTTTTAGCTTGTTCTCCAGTTCTTGCAGTCTTTATGCAGTTCTTGCTGAACTGCCTTTTGAGACAGTATTGAAGAGACTTCAGATCTTGGCCAATGGTACTTAGCAAGTGAAATTTATGAAACCGCAGTGAGCCCAAGTAAGGGTTCAGACAAAAGCTAACAGGCATTCTGCCAAAGTATGGGCTTCCCCGTGGGTATAAAGATTAATATACTTGACATCAGCATTCCATAATTCACTCTCAGCACTTCCTATACAGCTCTACAGCATTGCACAAGTCAGCAAAAAGTTACTGAACAGGGAAGACTCTAAGTGGAATTGATTCATGGATTTTGCGGTGACTTTTAATGTTTTGCAGGTCCTTATTGGACTCATATTCTCTTTACTTGGAAATCAAGAGAAGGACTGAAAGTCTATGTCAATGGAACTCTAAACACAACTGATCCAGATGGGAAAGTTTTCTATGATTACGGAGACCCCAGTGCAAACCTGCTGACTGGGACAGAGGGGGATCAAACCAAGCGCTATGTGAACGGGGCATTCGATGAATTCATTATATGGGAAAGGGCACTCACCCCCAATGAAATCGAGCAGTACTTTACAGCTGCTATTGGTGAGTATGTGCACTGCTGTCATAATTCATCTTATGGAAAGCTGCTGACTTAAAAATGCTTAGTGTGTAGCATTTATGTTCATTTTACATTTTTTAGCTATGGAATTTAATGTTTAGAGGCAGAAAAAGTGAGGTATGAATGTAACCGAAACACTCAGCTGGCTTTGCATGTGTGGTCGTTTCATCCTGGATTCTAGCTCCTTAAAATGTCATTAAAAATTACCAAAATACCTGAAGTATTCAGCCATTGTTAGATCCCCTGGGATCGAGAGAAGAGGAGAAATAGACTCAAGGCAGAACAATATTAGAAAAGACTGTCTCCAGATTTCTAACTTGGACTCTGGTTGTTGTGTAACTTAGAGCCAAGTCACTCTGTGTCTTCCAGCAGATGTGGAAAATTATGGTTATCTCTGCAGTTCCTGGAATGATAAAGGCTTATTAACTCATGTATGCTTGTGAACTAAAAAGAAGGATATCAGCTGAAATTTGATATAAAAGGCAAAGAATCAGGGTTAGAATAAAGACTTAGAAGACTGTCCAGTAAACCCTGTCTGAGGATCTTTATAGTAATTTTTTCACTATGAGAAAGGCTGTTGCTATTAAGTGCTTGTATGTGAGAAGCAATTAGAAAACATCCATCTCGGGAATAAAGCTATGGGGCATCTGGAACATTTGGCTTCGCTGGCAGTTTCGCTGCTTGCATTTATTCTTACTAGGTTACCGAGAGCTAAAGCAGTTACTCCCATAACTCCTGTGCTTTTAAACCCATGGGAACCATTTTCACAACGGAAACTCTTTGAATAACACAGAACATTACAGAGAATGTATGTGTTTGTAACTTCCAGGTTCAATTATAGCAATGAAATACATACAAAATATATTTTATCAAAAAGAAAACATAAACTAGTTTGTGTAGAATTGAAGTAACTGAAAAAGAAAACTCTCCATCTGGCATATAATGAAGTAATCTATTTGTTTTGCTATGCAAATAACAGCAATTGTACTCAAGTTTTTATTTTAAAGCCTTTTTGTTTTAAAAAAATTATTCCTATGAAAGTGTTCAAAAATTATGATTGGGAGAGTATTCATTTGATACAGGAAACAGTTTTAAAATCTTAAAAAAAAAGAGAAAATATTAATAACATTATAATGTTCTGGTCATGTTGGAAGAAATGCTTTTGTGTTTGGCTGTTGTATCTTTCACAACAATGTAGGGTTACTATAACACTATCCAACTCAAAGCTTCCATAAATCACATTCCTTGATTTAGTGTAACTCAAGAGGAATGTTATGTTGCTAAACTCAAGAGCAGTAGATTTTTCAAATCGACCTGATCCATCTCTATATGTGCCCTATTTCACTGTCAGAGAAGTATGACTTATATAAACACACAGAGAACTTTTTATTTAACCCCTTAAATTCCTGTGAACTCACAGCAACCATCCTCTGAAGCCCTCCACCCTCCCATCTTCACTATAACAAATAATGAAGGCATCATGCAAAGCTCTTTCCACAAATGCAAATCTTGTTCAGGATTTAAGTTTCTACTTCTTTCCTCTGTACTTGGGTTTGGAAAGTCTTACTGGGGCTCAGAATATCTGGTTGCTGGACATTAATCCTTGTAGCTAGCTTTTGAAATACCACAGAAAGAGTCGGGACCTTGGATTCTGCTAAAATTTAAAATTTTAAACAGTTGTACAGAATTTTGCCTGTATCCGACCTTTCAATCCCTGCTGAATTTTAGAAACCTGTATAGCAGACCCCTGATTCATACACTGAGATGTTCGTGCAGTGAGCTTTTGTGAGTCTACTGCAATTTGCATGACATTAGGTGTCTGTTTTTTTTTTTTTTTTTTTTTAAACCCCTAGTTCAGAGGTTTTTCAGGGTCATCTGGAACTATCAGTTTTCATAAAACTTTTCAGTTTTCTCTGAAAATTAAATTTCTAGCCTCTTAATTGAAAGTGAAGCTTGATGTGTGATTTCTAGTGGAATTAAAAGAATTAAAATGTAAAGGGATGCCAGGGATATGTTTTTTGTTTCTGAGTGTGAAGAATTTCAAGGTAATATTATTTTAAAGTGCTCAGGTGATTTGGAGCAGTTGAGAAATGTGGAGTATTGAATTTTTTGCTTTTTCCTTCAACGTAGTGGACTGATCAGATTTTATAAAATTTCCTATTTGACGGATGAAATTAGAACATTCTCAGAGGAAGCAATGGATGTTACAATACTAATCAACATAGTAAACAAAAGTTATTCTTGGTATCTATTTATTGACTTTGGAGGATTTAAAGCAGGGTTGAAGCCGGGCTAATGTGCTTGATATAAGAAACATAATAGAACAGCCCGGTTTTTTAGTAGAATGGATAATCCTGTTCCTTTTGGATGTGTGAGAAATATGTGTCTTATATGCAACTGTCATTTCACTGTGCTGAAATACTGCACTCTTGGCAAATATAATTGTTTGTAACTTGTAGATTAGAAGAAAATTTTATTTCTCTATCACAAATGACCAATAAATCCTTTTGCACAGAAAGGAATCAGTATTTTTAAAATGGAGCAACTAGAAACCATCCAAAATCAAGTTTATTTTTTCTGTTTTGCCAAATCACTTATGACATGCTCAGATGGCAAGTTTCGATGGCTATAGCACTAGTGGGTGACACTAGAGGTGACAACCTCACTGTTGCTTGAAATCAACCCACAGACACCTAATAGAGACATTACCTATAATATGCTCAAACTACTAATGAAGGTTGTGTTTTGACTCCTTGACCCTGTTATTTGTTTTATGCAAAACTAGCATGCCCCAAAAGCCTTGGTGTGCCACCTTTTCCACCAGCGTTCTTTTATTTGAGGGTGCCTTAGTTTTGCTGCAGGCATTGGAAATATTTCTTTTGGCTTTGAATATTTCTTACAGATTTTTTTTAATGTGGAAAAGTCTTTCTAAACTTGCCTTCATGGGTGTGATTTTGTTTGGCACTCAAGCAGTTTAGACTCAAGATATAAGTAAACATTAACATTTGGAGATCATAGCTGAGACCTGAGTCTGATTTATTCCACTGTCTGTATGTTCCCGGTCCCAGTTTATCACATGTACAGAAATACAGCAAGGTTGTATATGAAATTTTTTCTGATAAGACATAGGATTATTTTTTTTTCGACTTTCCTTAGATATTCATATAGATGTTGGCAGGAAACGCTAGCGAAGGAAGATGGATGCCAATGTTTTAATTGTACAGTTGTCCTTTTTTTTTTTTTTTAATTGAGATATAACACTTTAAACTTTTGTTTGAAAACAGGAAATTTAAGTGTTGAAGACTTGCACTGAATTGCAAGGCTCATGTATATAAAGACGATGAAATAAAATCAGTCGGAGAATCAGTAAATGAAATGCTTTAAACAAGCCTGTGTAGCCACAGCACTGCAAATTAGTAAAATGCACGGAGCAGCAGATATTTTACTTCCAGTTAGAACTGAGTCAGCCTGCAGTGGGAATATCAGATTGGTCAGCACTCTCAATCGTGTCTGTGTTTTCCTCAGGTGTGCAAGTTTTGCTTTCTTCAACTCCTCCCTGGTCTGCGATGACAACCACTACAAAACCTGCGGTAGGACTGTCCCCAACTCTTCTCTGTAATGTCAGGATGTGTACATATCACAGGGTTACAGACCCTCCTCGCTTTACAGTTTTCATTACTGGCACTTAGTACTCCAGTTATAAAGCTTTTTAGATATGCATAAGGAGAATTTTTAGCCACTACTGGAAGATGGGGGTACTACAGAGTTCTTAATGCAGGACAGATAAAGAAAATTAATTGTTAAATAAAATTATTTTCTATATTTAAAAGAGGGAAAAAATGTAGAAACTTCCGAAATATTTCAGTGAACTTTGAAGATATGGGACATTCAAAAACATTTTGCTAATTTTTCCTTGTTTCCTTTAAAATTTGAAAACATTTCCCACCACAATAACAAAACTAGTTTTCAGCTGTTCAGTAAATGCTTAATGAAAAAGATTTAAAGAAAATAGAATTTTCCTATGCATAATACATACAATTTGCTGTAACCAGCCTACACACAATTAGCTGTTGCAGTGTATTTTCGCTTTCCTGCTATCTGCAGAGTCAAAGTTCTGTTAGTTCTCTTCTTGTTCACAGGAAACCACAGCAGATAGGACCTGAATCGCTAATGAAAAACGGGGCTGTGCCTGTCCATTCTGTTTATCCTGTTTATCTGTCTGTGTGCTTTCCTTTTCCCCGGGCTTATGTAGCCTCCTGTGTGTAACCACAGCAGCCTGCTGTGCCTCAGCCTCCCTTTTGGGCTAAAATAGACAATGCCTGCCACACGGCAGGATTCCTGATCAGCTGTGTTTCTCTCCGGTAGCTCTCTACCAACGCCTACCGTCCCATCATCACCAGTCTGACCGAGGAGAGGGGGAACTTCCGCGCCCCCGACACCATGCTGGGCTACCTGGAGAACGTGTCCCTCAGCCTGCCCGACCAATCCTTGTCACAAAACACAGCTCTCAGCCTGGCAGAGGTAAGAGCCTTTCGCATCTGTGCGTGGAGCCAGATGACCCAGAAGTTTCTCCAGAAGTTGGAATATCAAACACAGCTTTGAAAGTTTTTGCTGATTGCAGAGAATACATACAGAAAGCAGTAGCTATTTTAGGGAGTAGCAGAAGGTGAGCTTCAACCAGAAAAATAGTGAGTCTCATTAGTTCTCAGGGATAATATTTAATGCACAAATTAGAAATTCCTGGAACTATGGCCACTCATCAAAAATAATTATTTGGTTGAGCAGGAAACAGAGGAGGAGAAAATAAATTGTTATTTTTTTTTTGGCTGCAAGTGTATCCAATGAAGAATACATAATTCTGGAAAAAAAATTCAGCATTTCTCTGCATGGCCCAGCTGATCCAATCTGTCCTTTGCTCTCCTCAGTTAACAGCTTTATCTTGCACCAGGTTCCAATCACAGCCAGGACTCCTGTGTGGACATATCACAAATCTTCGCTGAAACTCTTTCATGGAAAGATCAGGTCCTAAACTTAATTGAAGAATTTTTTTTTGTTTAAACTAATTCATGATGAAAAAAAAAAAAAAAAGGAAGGCAGCATTGTCTGCAGTGTGAGCTGAGGACAAGGGGTCACGTTCTGCTAACATAAAGTTAGCCTTCTGTAAAATGGTGGGCATCCAATTCCCTGATTTCAGCAGGCTAGAAAGCTATTATTAAGGTGATCAGCTCTGGCCTCTCTAGTGATTGTTCCTTTAAGCCTGTGGGTAATACCAGGGTGACAAGGATTATTTACTCAGGCAAACAATATAAATAAATGCTTCTGAAAAATACAGGGGCAGCAATGGATAGTTTGTGTTATAAAAGCTCAGCATTTGCAAACTGTAAAGCTTGGATTTTATGGATCACAGTATGATATGTAGCAAAAACCCTTCTAAAAATCTCTAATATATTGTTTCCTTTGTTTTGCTGAAAAGTTTGTGTAGGGTCTAAAATGAAAATGGAAATATCATTCTGTCGGATATCCTACCTGTCTCCCACATCATTTCAGTTGCCGTTCGGGTGCTCATTCATGCTATCTGATGCTGCTTTGTGTGCCATGGAAGTGATTTGCAGGCAGAAATGTGGGCCACGATTATCTTTAGCAAAGCTATTTTGGGAAGTAAGCACGAGAGGATCCTGATCATCCATGCAGCCTCTGTCGTTTGTCTGATTGATGGTTAGGCTGTGTATTGTCTGCAGCTAATTCCCTGGCAGCCAGGCACGGAGCACGCATGCTATTTTCTGTAAAGTTATCTCTGTCCTGATTGCCATATGCCTTACAGCACAAGAACATTTGATTTGTGATATGCAATAAGCTTTCTGATTACTGACACACGGTTATAACGCGTTGCTTCTGACAAATCTGAGTGGTGGTTTCTGCTGTAATGCTGCTCCAGCACTCCTGCTTCCCCTCCCCATCCAGGGGGCTGACAGAGCCTTTTGGAGTAACTCTGGAGTGATGCTGTGACCTGAGGAGAGGTAGTCACTGGGCAATGTGGCCTGGGTCCTGGGTTTAGGATAACTTCTGTGCATGCCAGGTAAAATTCCACGCTCAGTGTTTGAGGGAGGCTGCAAGATTGGTGCTGTCCAGAGGTAAGCTCATGTAGCAAAGCTCTGGTGCTGCGCTTTGTATTGTATCATGACTTGTAAAATTATGCTCAGAAAAGTCCTGCAGCCTCCTTCCACATTTCTCAGTGGAACTTCTATGTATTCAGTTGATGCTTTTAAGGTGTTTTAACGCAGAAGTTTAAGCAGGAGATGTGGGTTTTTTCATTTAATTTTCTGTGCTTCCTTTTCTCCTCCTCCTATTTGTCCTCATCAGCAAGACTCCTTAGGACAGGGGCTGTGTCATGCTGAGTACTTGAACAGTGCCCACCGTGACAGATCTTGACCTCAAAAACAACCTTGAAGTGCAAAAGTTAAGCAGATAATAAACTGAACAAGTGATGGGGTCCAGGTATTTTTCTGAGGTTGGTGAAATGTCTAGTCGTCTAAGACTCAGAAGTACTAATGTCATATGAGTTTAGATAAAATGGGAGAATAAGTTCACTCTAGTCTTAGTTCCAATGTTGTCACCTCAGCTGTAGTACACTTTGGGAGTTTCACAGGGGTGTTACTTTTAATAAACAAACTATTACTTTAAATTGTCACCATATCTGTGACTCAAATGAAAGTGAGCTTGTCATCTTAAAACAAACCTAAGAAAATCCTAGCAGGGATCTGCCTTGGATCCTTACCAGGAGATGTAGCTGATTGAAAAAATAATTTAATTTTATTTGTCTTTTAGGCATTTTTAAAAGCTATTGAAGACTTTCTGTTATTGCCCAGCTGGATTGATGTACCAGAGGTAAGACAAATGGGCAGAGAGTTGTATGTTACTTTGGTTGGATAATGGTATTTATAAAAGAACAGATATTGTCACTAAAGTACATATTTAATCACTCCATTTTTAGCACTGAATGTTGCTATTTAAAAGTTTTTTTGTTTTGTAGATTGATGTTTTTCAATGCCCGTCAAATACGCAGTAGTGCTTACCTGTCTAGTGAACTGAAGCCTTGAGAGAGATTAAACCTAATATAGGGAAAAGTAGCTTGTATCAATGTTCTTTCTCTTCTACTCTACCTTTCAGAGTGCAGAGAAATACTTGAGGGAGGAACCCAGCAATTTTCTCAGATTTTTGTTTGAATCTGAAGGGAGCACAGATCTCAGAACAGAGAGTTTATGAACTGAGAGAAGGAAAGGCTAGAGTAAATTCAGGTCTCACTGATGCCTTCAAATGCTTTTGAGACAAAAAGGTGTCTAATTGATTTAAGTTCTTAACTTAAAATCCTTGATCATCTCTGCTGTAAATAGATTTCAGATAGAATAGATTTCTGTTTAATTGAAATGGTGCATTCACTCTGGGATTATATGGATCAAGTTTCAACCTGGAGGGTTGTTTTCCAGGGGACATATAAACACTTCGAAAGTAGCTTTATACTGGAGACCATTTTAAAAAAGAGGAAAGAAAGGCCAGAGTGTAGTGTCTCAGCCTATGTTCCAGTTAAGATCTGATTCCAGTCTTTATGTATTGTCAAAATAATCTCTTCAGTTCTTGGCCTCATTCTGCTGAATCCTGAGTATACTCAGTGTCAAGTGCTGGTTGGAGCAGAGTCATTTGGAGTCATTCTCTAACACATAGTGTTTTATAAGGGCAGGCTCTGGGTGGCACCAATTTGGGTAAAATTTTACCTGCTATATGTGGAAAAGGCTGTGGAGAGAGTCACATTTGACTTTGGATGGTTGAACGATGAGTCACACAGGAATTTAACATGGCACCTTGGCATTTTGCACTATGAACTGCCATTTCTTTTGCTGCAGAGCTTTCTTTCTTCTTTCCCCAGACTGCTCCTGTATTTGGAAGTTTAATTCAAGCTATTGACAGTGTGATGGCTCATATGACACAGAATCTAGATGAAAACTCGTTACCTTCAGCTCTTGAGGGCACATCATCTGTGGCAGGTAGGATTGAGCAGAAATGTTCTCTCTGGGCTGGGTGTCCTATATGCTTCTCTGCTTGCAGCCCCTCCTTTGCCAACATGAAGGAGGAAATCAAACCAGGTAATTTTCTTTAGAATAGAAAACAGGGTTTCAGTTGTAGAAAGATGACTGTGCAGTTCAGACATAATGAGCTTTGATTGTGCTTGTACTTCTTTGAGGTTATTTGGGGAAGGATTTAGAATATGGATTCTATGAAATTAAACTAGTAATCTTGCATGTCGTGGTTTAACCCTGGCTGTCAGCGAAGCCGGCCAGCCGCTCGCTCACTGCCCACTGATGGGGATGAGGGAGAGAACTGGAAAAGTAAAAATGAGAAAACTTGTGGATTGAGATAAAGAGTTTAATAATTAAAGCAAAAGCCACCCGTGCAAGCAAAGCAAAACAAGGAATTCATTGACCACTTCCCATGGGCAGGCAGGTGTTCAGCCATCTCCAGGAAAGCAGGGATCTGTCACACATAATGGTTACTCGGGAAGACGGATACCATCACTCTGAACATCCTCCCTTCCTTCTTCTTCCCCCAACTTTGTATGCTGAGCATGATGTCATATGGTATGGAATATCCCTTTGGTCACTTGGGGTCAGCTGTCTCGGCAGGGGCAGCCTGAGAAGCTGAAAAAGTCCTTGTCTCAATGTAAACATTGCTTGGCAACAACTAAAACATCCCTGTGTTATCAACATTATTCTCAGCATAAATCCAAAACACAGCCTCATACCAGCTACTAGGAAGAAAATTAACTCCATCCCAGCCAAAACCAGCACACTGTACTAAACTAATAGGCAGTTAAAGGGCATAGAGCTTTTATGCAGCACTTCGAAGTTGCAGATGTCTAGATGCCACAAAACCTTAATTTTGCAAGGTTTTTCCTGTTATTTGCAATCACTTGCAATAGTTTAGACCTTTTAGGAGAATTTTATTTTACTGTTTAGCATCCCAGCCCCCTAATTGCATCCGTGTCTTTGGATGCTACAGGTAGCAAAGGTAATTTATGTGTTCTGGCGTTCTTCTCTACCTTGCTGAGACCTGTATGAGGGGCCCAATAACTCTCTTGGACACTGACATTCTGAAATGGAGCAGCAGAGGTCTGAAATAGTGCTTTCCAATGTCAGCAGAAGAGAGTGTTATCAGCCTGTTTTGCTTGCCCTGGTAAGGTCAGTGTTTCAGCGTGGGTGAAGTGATTCACGGTGTATTAGCGGTGCACATACCACCTTCTATGTCATAAAGGAGTCAGATAGAAAAGGCAATTTTATACTCAGGGAATTCTCTATATTTTCTGCAAACATCTGGGGTTTTAAACTCAAGACTTGCAATAGCTATTAGGGGAAGTCTAATTAAATGGTCAAGTAGGTTGTAGAGGCTATTGATTTTGTCATATTTTTGTTTGGGTTATCACACAGATTACAGCTTGGTCAAAATGCATCCTCAGACTCTGAATTTGTCCCGCTATCGATTTCCATCTCGAGGACAGAGTTATATTTCTATTCCCAGTGAAGCTTTTCATGAAAAAGGTAAGAAAAAATGTAAAGGGAGGAGCAGAATTATGTAAACAGGGTATCCAAATGTGCTTTTGCTTGAAAACAGGTTTTGGGTTGCTGTATTTTTCCAAGTAACCAATTTGATCCCTGTTGATCATAATGGCCCTAAAGAAGCAGCAGTTCCCCTGTTGTATTAATGAATGATTAGTGTGATAGAATTTTCATATTAATTCAATTGATCCCGAATAATACAGCTGGGCCACAGAGACTGAAGTAATTTAATTTTGACATCTTTTTACATCAGAGAAGCCATAATTTCATAAATTATTTTTAATTATCTGAACTGATTATTTTAAAGAAATTTCAGGTTGTCAGATCAGGTACTGCTTATTCCTTCATGCAAAATTGCTCTTAAAATGTTGTATGAAATTAAACTACAAAATGACAGGTTTAAGCAACAGCAGCTGCAGAAACAGAATAAAAGTGTGAACTACAGTACAGGCAAAGAAGCAGAACTCAGAAATCAATGCCTACGCTAAAATTTTAATAATCTCAAAAGCTGGGAGTATGGTAAAAACCTGAAGCTTTAGTAAAGACGCTAAAATAGCAATATTTGAAGTTAATTATCTGCGTTATAATTAGGGATTGAAGGAACCTATTTACAAAAACATCTACCTGCATGTTCAAGCCTTTGAAAATCTGCCCTATGTATGTGCCCTAAATTGCAGCCCACAGAATGTACACACCCAGAGACCTGTCTGCAGTCGCTTACGTTGGAGGCAGGTTGGTCCCAATTCATAAAGGGCAAAGTTAGCTGCAGTGAGAAATACTCCAATAATTGCTGAATGTCTACCTGCTTTGTGATGACAGCTTCGTTTCTTTGCTCTGGCAGGGGGCACTGGCTGGAGACTTCACTGCCCGTGCTCTGAGGCTTGAATTGCAAACCATCTTGTAATGTGAAAAATAGCATGTGAGAGGACTTTTTTTTTCCTTTCCACCTTATAAAGTCTCTCACCATGCAGATTATTTTTTCTTCAGAACATTATCATGCTTGGTATCCTGAAATGATCCAGCCCATTAAATGTTTGCCTCTTTTTTCCAGCTAAAGCTCACTTCTGAGCAATTTCATCCTTCAGACCACACTTCTACACTGTCCAAATGAGCTAACCTAAAAAGTTACTATTCCACCTTACACAGCTGACACTATAAATACTTGTAACCCAGTAAAAGGGAGAGTGAAAGCCATCTGTGTGACTGACACTTAGAAAATACATGTCTGTCTCTTCACTCAGATGCTGGAGAACCCATAAACGTAGATGGTGGTGAAGCAGCCTTGAGATTACTGTAGCTGCCATTGAAAAATTGGTTCTGGTACGTCATGCAACCCTTGCTAGTGCTATGCGGGGCATTTATAATTGACAACTGATTAACAACTTATTTTAGACGTACAGTTGCACAGGGCAGGCATCCTTCTATTTTATTTTTGATATGTTTCCTGGGCAGTACTGCAAGATGTTCATACTTTTTCACTTAAAAGAATAACCAGAAATCTGCCAAAGCAAAGATATGAAAGTCTACAGAAGTTAAGGCTCTTAATTGCCGGGGAGTTTCAGGTCTAGGAGAGTGGTGTCTCTTGCTTACAACTGTTGCTCTGAGGAATAACCCTTGTTCCCTTTTCACAGCTTGGATTACCATCGTCGGCTTGCTTTACCATAACATGCACTATTTCTTTCATAATATCAACCCTATGGATACTAAGTAAGTATCTCAGACCTCTCATGCTGTAAGAGGTTGTTTATTACCTTAGTGATACAGCTTTATAACAGTCACATCATTACCATCTGTAAATAAATCACGAACCATAATCCTGATTCTGCAATGTTGAGGACATCGTCATTAGCTAGAGAGAGATTAAAGTTTACATTGGATGTTTTACTTTATGTTGTAGTAAAATAGATTCCCATAGCAACGTTTGTCTTTCTTTGTCTTCTCCTTCCATTCTTTATATCCGGCATTAGAATTTCATAATTTTAATCTGTCTCATAAAAGGAAATTGCAAATTTTCTCCTGACACATATAAAGATAAAGCTTGCACTTAAATGAAACAAGAAAGACAACATAACATCCCCATTTAGATAAAATCTGAATCCTAATCCTAGACACCTGTAAGGTAATTTTACAACAGGAGACCAGGCAAAGCTTAAAAGACCTTCTGTTTTATAAGCTGCATCAATGAAATCATTAGCAGATAAGATAAAGTAGACGCAGAGCTGTATACCTCTCGGCAATACAGTTCCCCAGGGAATTGTGCAAAGCCACTCGTGTAAATCATTACACTTTCCTTTTAAGCCATATGATGATCCGTGCTGGGGTACATAGATTAGTTTACTCTTTCTCTCAGTCTTTTCCAACCTGTGACATTTTGGTGTGGTGCTCATGACAGCAGCAGGAAAGCTGCAGCACCTCAGCTGGGTGTCAGGGGCTGCCTCCCTGTCTCAGGTAAAGCTGCACGGAGGGTCCTGATCTGGGAACTCATTTGTGAACTCCATTGTAAAAAATCCTGGCTTGTGACCAGACCGATCTCACTGAGATAATCACACAGCATCACTAAATAGCATTATAGCATTTTAAAGTCAAGTAGCAGGTTGTAGTGTTTATCCTTCTTTCTCAAAAAAACGGGCACTTAGCAGGTGGCTGCAAAGGAACCAAGTCATTTATGTGCTATAGTTCTTACTGACATGAAGAAATAGAGGCAATAATTTATTACAGCTTATGTTTTTCAACCAGGAGGATCAGTGCAATTTGTTAAAATAATAAGCTATAACCTCAGCTTCTCAAAGACAGAAAGCATTAATATGGTCTCAATGTAAGTCAGCTTAGCAAACAATATAGTTAAAGATGCTGCATGTCAAAATGCTGTATTCTGAATGCATTGTCACAGAGCCTACAGCTCCTGGGGCTCTGATATGGCAAAATAAAACAGTTATGTCATCTTTGTGTACGGTCTCCGGATTTTGTGGAGTAGGACAACCCGGAGATCTATACCTGTTCCACTGAGCTGTGTGTGTTTTTATCACTCACTTTTGAGAAGAAAGCATCTGGCCCTGCTGCAGTGTTAGAGAAACACAAAGACACTGGAGAAGAGCAGCCTCCTAGGTTTCTATAACTAATCCAAACTACTTCAACTGTTTGCAGTATGTAATGCGCTACAGAATCACCTCTATAAATTTCTAGATGCAAATCTGTCCAAAACAGCATTTAAGGAGCCAGTAGTGAAGGGAATGCTAGCTTAGCGATTTTCCTTTGTGGAATCAAACCCCAGCTATTCAAAAAATGTTTTAAAAATAAGTATGCTATGTTTTCTTTTTTGTCCTGTCCTATTATAACTTTTTTGCTTCCATTTCACTGTCATGAGAACGTTTTCCCAGAGTAGTTTGTTTTAAAGACTTTCTTTTACGTCCCTTCTAGCACTGGGCTACTTGAACACCTGTAATTTGAAGCCTGTCCATTTTCTTCCTAAGGGCAATTTTTTTTTTTCTTTTGTGGTGGAAACCTAAAACCAAAACTCTGGGAGTTTTTGTGCTGTGCAGACAGATGACTTCTATTTTCAGACTACATAAATAGCAGTTTCTAAGGGGAGTCAGTTTTGATTCTTTACAAAAACTAAATCAAAACAAAAAAAAAATTGAGCCCAGTTCTGCTACCGCTTGTGTACAGTTTGTGTAAATCTGTAGTAATCTCACTAAAGACTTGGGGTTGTGCTAAATGAGTTCTGTTTTATTTGACCTTGCTGAGGAGCTCAATGAAGTTATTTTAATGTCTGATGACTTATTTTTTTCCCTGAAAGAAAAACAAGAGACCATTGCAAACAGGTGGCAGAAGTAAATAAGCTGTTTTTTAATGTGCTTCGTAAACTGGCTCTTTCCCATGGTGTGCTATGTTTGGAAACCCACACTGATGGTTAGCTCGCCATGGCTCCCATTTCTCATAGTAAATACCATTCATGCACGTACTAAAGAGGTGGAAGACAGAGACCATTGTACTCCTGCAAAGTTTGTTACTGATGGTGTTAAAAATTTTGCCCTACAGCCAAATGGATGTTAGTTAGTTTAAAAGTGTGGAAATGCCAAAGTCATAAGTTTTAGCTGAAAGCAGAAATAAAATGGTTCTTATGTACTGCAAAAGTACTTTGGTCTGGGAAAGAAAAATATTACTTGGACTAATCAGATGTTTAGTCAGGTTCAGCTGTTTGTGTTGTGACCCGAGTTACTCTCTAGGACACAATCAATTTTTCAAAGCAAAGCTATAAATGACTTCTAAATATATTCCTACATATGTGTTTATATGCATTATATATAAATATATGTCTTACAGGCTAATATGCGGGCTGAATTAGACAACCTGAAACCCTGGCAAGTTTTCTCCTCACTTAGATTGCGTGGCTTAGTTGGGTTATTTTCAGATCCCTTGCTTCATAGGTTTGTAATTATCTAAGGCACTTTTGCCAAGGCTTGTAAACCTTTGCAAAATAGGAGCAGAATAAAGGAATACTTATGATATTACTTATTGTATCAACTCTCCTAATGTCTCAAGCTGTTCCCTGTACTTTATAGCTGGTGCTTCTAGTGCTGGAGGGTCTTTTGGGGCCAGATTTTGCACCCCTAAAGCAAGTCATTGATGTGAATGGACCAAGGAGATCCTGTGTCCCTGTTGTTTTGGGTGTTGTGGATGAACTAAAGTTTTTCTGCTTCCCTAATATATCTGTTTCTTTCCAAGAATTGCTGAAGCTGCTGCCTACAAAGGTTATATGATCTCAGCAACCAGTCATCTCATCTCTGTCAAAGTGGAACCTCGACCCAAGCTGTCCCACAATCTGTCAGGATCTCCTCTGATTACCATCCAGCTCACCCATAGATTGGTAAGTGACATGGAAACTACCACTTTAGGCTGTCACCAGGGCTGTTCAAAGCTTCGATGTCTGTTATGACTTCTTTGTATTTCTCTTGTAATTGTTGTGGGCATTTTTAGTGGCAATTCAGTTGGCATTTTTGACTGCACTGTTACGTTTTTCCAACCGTTCCTCTTCAATGACTTTTGTTCCTGACACTGCGAAAGGCTGATTACTGCACGCGGTGAAAAAGAAGGTGAAATGACAAGTACAGCTTTAGGCCTTTCTTGTACGTGTTGTTGTATAGATGTGTTTGTTCGATCTGTAACAGGACGGTATGAATTACTGCTTTCTCATTAGAGCCGTCAAAAGCAGGAATTAATTTATGGTTTGTGTCTTAATCCACGCTGAGATAACAGAGGTCTTTTGCATGTTCTCATGAATAAACCCAGAGAAGGAACTTCTCCAGGGGCAAATACAAGTGTGATGGGCAGGAGATCTCCTGGAGTAAGAGTGGGGCAGATTCAAATCCCTGTTCTGGTGTGAACTGCCCTTGCTAGAGAGCAGAGCTTTCTCAATTTGAGAGACAAGAGGCAAGATTCTCATATTTATTTTTTCTTCTCATATTTATGAGCATCTGAGAAAACTTGAAGACAAATTTTCTTGAAACTGATCAATTTCGGTAAAACACTTCAATCTCACCAAATTAGCATAGTCCAGCAAGAAACTGGAAAAACAGCTGGTTTTGTTTGCTCTTGGAGAAAAAGGCATCTCTCTTTGTCTTGTCAGTGAAATAGAGAATAATTGAGTTCAAACTTGGAGGTGCTGGCATGAGGCATGCAGCATCTATGACCTACTTACAGCATTGAATGGAAATGGAAAATAAAGTTTTCAGTGTTTAAGTGTTTCCTAGAAAATATCTCTTACATGGTCTTCTGAATATTTTATTGTATTTTTCTTTGAATGAGTGTTTTCAAGCCAGTTTTTCTTCTTCATGTGGGGCTTCTGATAAAGATGGATTAGGCTGCAGAAAACAAATATATGAAAAAACCCTAAGGCATAGAAATGAAAAGCGTTGTTTTACTGACAGTATTTCAAACTAAGGACTCTCCTGGATGTCCCTAGGGGCCTCTTAAAGGCAGGCACTTGTCAAGTGAAAACTGTATTTGGTGTAGATCATTTATAAAATGTACTTTGCTTTATTCAGGTACCTCCTCGTGCATTAGTATGACGATTTACTGGCAGGGTCTTAAACAAACCTGGGGTTTTTTTTGTTGTTTTTTGTTTTTTGGTTTGTTTCTTTCTTTCTTTGTGCCTGTTGACTTTCACTGTGAGGATCACTGGGATCTTGGTATGCAGATAGAAATTTTACATTTATCTGTCTCTTTCTCTGTTTGAATCAGCAGAATCCACAAGAATGTGGTATGAACATGTCTGTCTAACACATCATGTGTAACAGATACAGGTTGATCGGAGTTTCAGACTCTACCAAGAGCAGTGTGTGCTTGATATAGCACATTGGAGGAGTGGCTGTTTCCTCTTACAGAGGACCAAACCTGTTCTCTCTTGTGCTGCTGTGGATTTTAAAAAAGCTCCAGTGAATTCCGTGGAATAATTTTAAACAATATAAATTTAGACAATTTGTGAATTTTCTTAATTACTTAATCAAATATACACAAGTAAATATAATTGAATTTACTTAAGCAGATCAGGAAATGACTGCATGTCTCTGAAACCTTTCATATGATAGCAGCACAGGTCCTTTCTGTCATACTACATTTATCTCTGTATATTATTTATCTCTGTATTGAACTCTGGTTGAGTATGGTTGGTCATGAAATAAAAGTAGAATTTAAAATGTTGAAGTAGTTCTGGCTGCAAGACAGCTGTGTTAAAGAATGTACTTTCGAGAGTAGCAGTCAAGCTGTTTATGTAAGTTTGTGATTGAATACAATGCTTAAACCAAGAGCATAAAACCTGGCTTAGAAGCCTGTTTCATCCGTTAAAATACTGCTTGCTTATAATACTGGGAGAAACATTTCAAGTGGATACCAAACTCATTCTTATATTTTCTGTTTGTTCCACATAATGTTCTCGGTTTAACAGAGAGGGAAGTGATATAAGAAAAAGTAAAAAAAAATAGAAACCTGAACAAATAGTTTATCTCTATTAAAATTTAAATTTTGCCTTTTTCAGTTGATCTGATTTAGTTATAGCTACTCCAATGGAGTCTACTGGACTCTTCTATGAGTAGAAAAATGAGAGGAGTGAGAGGACAATATGCTTTTTGTACTGGTTGTAGTGATGCTTGGCACAGCTTAATAAAACTTTACTTCTTTTTCTTCTAGTGTGTATAGGAAAAACGCCAATCATTGAGCAACAGAAAACAAAAGGGAGTAAAATAGAACATGTCTATTTTAGGAAATGGTTACAAAGAAAACGTCTGTGAACTGAATATCACCTCTTGAATCAAAACTTCACAGAGCATTTATCATTCCTTAGCCTAACTCACTGTTAGTTAGATCTTCTCCTAGGGAGGGAATTTCTGGTTTTCTCTGAAGTTGTCTGCATTTTTCACATAGCTTTTGGAAGCGTGTGAGATGATTACATTTTGCTTTCTTTTTGAAACAGGGCGACACAAACTGATGCTAATATCTAACCAACTAGTTAAGAATGCAGGGAATACTTGTAATTAAGTGTTAATTTCTAGAGAGCACCATGGGGCAGTGGACGCTGAGTGCACAGAAGAGATGGGTGCCCAGCCGGGGGACAGGCTGGAGGCTGAACTAGTGCTATGGAGCACGGGAGCTCAGGAGTCACCTCATCGTTAGCAGATCCACAGTTAATTTCATGGGTACAAGGACTAGGGAGACTAGACTAAACTAACAGACTCACCTCCATCAGAGAGGTCATAAGAGGACGTCAGTAATTACGTTAGGGCTTGATGTTCAGGCTTGCAGCTGGATTCTCTTGGGACCAATATTGCTGGTCAACATTCCTTCTACCAACAGAGCAGGCAGAAAATTTTCTGGTCAAGCTTCCATTAGTGGAAAATGGTTTTTCTGACTTTAAAATAGAAATTCTCATGAATGAGGATGAATAAGCCATCCCTTTTTTTTCCACAGGATAAAAATATTACTTGTTTAATTCTTCTTAAGAAGTAAAGACTCCCTGTGGATAGGGTAGATGTGGATGTTTTACTTCTTATAGTGTTCTTTTTGTTTTAATTGTCACTATTCTAACAACTGTTTATTTTGTTGCGCAATCCCTGAAACCAGCTTTTCTGTTACTCTCCTTTTCTTGTATACTACAAAAATATTAACAGCTTTAAAAATATTTTCTTTTTTTGCAAGAAGACTTCATCAGGGATTTAAAATTAACTTCTTTGTGCAAGAACATAAAGTGATTAAGTCTTTTATTCTTTGCCGTTCTGAGGAATGCTGATCCGCTCTTTCTACCCACAGTGTTCATTTTTGTAACACAATGACATAGCTAGGGGTGAAAGGCAGTTCTCCTTTGCCTTCTCTGTAGATATAATACTGCCTTTCCTGCAGTATTTGAGGGCCTTTTTGCTTGAGACTTTTTACATATTGGAGAATTACCCTAGTGGATATTGTTAATGACTGTCCCTTCCTTCCCGCTGCTTGGGGTACAAGATGAAGATGAGCGAGAACCAGTAGTGCTCTGTGACAGCGTAGGCTCAGATCTATTGTTGTTACTCTGTTAAGTTGTTATATTGACAGTGGGATTTTAAATCTCATTAAATATTTTCTATTTTTTATTCAGTGTTTGTCATAATACAGTTTTGCCAGTCAACATACACTTGTGGAAAGAACGGGAAGAGCTTGCTCTATGTATACATATTGGTTTTTTTCTATAGCTCACCTGAAAAACTATTGAAGACTGTAATGCAAGAAAATTATGTTCGTTTACAGATAGTATTGCCTGTAATTGCAGAATATTCAGTGTGAACACTCTCTAAACTTACCAGCTCCTTTGACATACCTTCTGATTGGGTCAGGTTGGAGTATGGGATAGTCTCTGTTCTAGAGACTCGAAGAATTTCAGCACATCAAGGAGGATCTAGGATTTCTCTGGAAAAGCTTTAGATTGCATTCACAGCATCTTGGTCAGAGAAGGTTGACAAAACTTCAGACGTTGGACACAAAATGTCTTCAGACAGACATTGTTCTTCATAACTGTAAAGGTGGCAAGTTACATTAAAGATGCATTTTCTGAATAATTTCTTTGCAATAGGTTGCAGTATTTATTCTAATATAAACATTTCTCTTTATGAGCAAATTTTTTTCTAAACTGAGAGACAAAAGTTGATACAATATTTTACAATAGTCAGTTGTTATTCAGGAACATTTTGGTGAAAGACAGACATTTTTTGACTGATTTTAAAAATGATGATGCTCTGCTCTTCAGCAACTTGGATGAACTGTCTCCAGCAAAAAAAAGATAACAGAAATCAACTAACACCTTCAGTGTGCGTGGGATGATGCGAAGACTGGTAGTTTGCAGCTGAAGAAGGCTTAATCTTGACCTGTCCAGATGTTTTCTAATGAAGCAACAGTACATTTTGTAAAATTATATCCTCAAAAGATTATGTTTCTGGCAAGATGTTTTTCATAGTGGGAGCAGCTAGAGAAGAACTAACGTTTCACTGATATGATCTGAGGAATTACAGCACAGGGTGGAAATTTAGAAGAGAAGAATGTCAAGGCTGAAATACATACACATGTTCTGGCATGTGTCAGAAGAAGCAACAGAGGGAGAAATGGTGTAAAACTGCACCAATATTTTGGAAAATCCATATGGCTGTGTAGCATAGACCTTGATCTTTGACCACACTAAGTCGCTTTCTTGTGGACAAAGTAACTATAAATTCTTGCCTTTTCTCTTCCTCACATGAAGATCAGATGCAAATTGGGAATTCTTAGTGTAGCTGATTTTCCCCCAAACATATTTAGTGCAAATGCCATTTTAAAGATTTGTTTCATTCTGGGGAAAAAAATGTGCTTTAC